CCCCACCCAACGGTCGCTTCTCTCACCCGTCGCGGACGGGGGATGAAATCGTTAGCCGAGGTAATACACGCATAGGGTGCTTCGATGCGTCCCTTTGACTCGCGCCACTCCTATAATTCAGTCGCGACAGGGCCGGTAAATGACTTTCTTTCTTCGCTCGCCATCGAAAGCGCTTTACGCGGGATATTATTTCCTGGACATTAATGGAAATAAAGTTCAGACATCAGGTTTCGCCTCTGCTTTCGCCCTCTGTCCTCGGTCTCTTTCGCGCTTTCGATGCGTACTCGGATTACATTTCGGTGTTCGTGCCGTAGTTGAGACGATGCACGTGCTGAGTTGAAAGAAATTTAGAGGAACATCGAATTTACCGTTTTCTACGTTACGTTCATCTTCCGTGACGAATGAACGTCTGGAAGTAAGGGGTAGTTTCTAGCAAAATGAAGAAACTGACGGAAAATGGAGGTGACCGGTTTACCTTTCGAGACAATGACACTTCGTCTGCGAATAATATAGCAATTAATTGAACGAAATTTACAAAGGAATTTACAATTTTGTAAAGTGTAAAAGAATTGTATATTTAAACTTACGCTTGTAATGCAACTTGTATAATTTTACTCGCGATAACTATTAATCCGAGTAAACGAATTATTGAATTGAATTAAATAAACTGTTAATTATATTAAATAAATTAAGTTATATTAAATTAAACATTCGCTTTCTTTTAACTTTTAACACTTGTAGGAGTGACGAAAGATACAGCAATCTCGGCTTTCAGGGTGGCTTTTTAATTCAATAATGGCCGTATATCACGCAGTGAAAATTTTTCGCCGCTTTACACTTTAAGGACGCTTCAGAGAGCCTGTCATTATCATTGATTTATTTTCATTAGTCAGTTCTTATATACACGAAGCTCGCGCTAATATAATAATTTTCTACAAAGTTACGAATAATGTCTCGTTTACAATGATATTTCGACCGACCCCTCCTCGTGAAGAAACTATCTTATTCCGTGACATTTGCTACCATTCAAGAAGAAAAACATCCACAATTGTGCAATTCCCTCTAATTCACCATCATTTTCAAGCAATTTTGCCCCTCTCTAGATACCCATCGTTTAAAAAAAAAAGGAAAAAGAAAGAAAAATGCAACTCTCACGTTGTTCAAACATTGACAAGACAAAATTATACGCATCTTCAAGAACTTCCATAACTATACGAAATGGCACGCTGTCCGAGCATCGCGTGACCATATTTGTAAGCAACTTTACACAGTCGTGGTATTTTATGTCCGAGCGGGAAAGCATCGCTAACGCGGTTTGAAATTACACGAACGCGATACGAACACGTGGAACTGCGTATCGTAGGAAAATAGATCGGCCGTTTTACCCCCGCGTTCTATAGGCCCTGCCACGATTTTCAAAGCCGCGTCTAAGCCTATAAGAAAGACCGTTCACTGAAATAGCACCGTATTAACAATTCATGGATTATAAAGTGCCACAAATAGCGTGTAGCGTGTCCGTTCATTAAAATTCCTATCCTTTTGTACGATCCTATCGAAATGGCCGTCGATACTTCGAGATCGACGTTGATCGAAAGAACTCGCGAATTTCTATCTCGAATTCACAATTCACAATTGATGAATTTACCCGTACACCAGGAATAGCTTCCGCGATTGTCGACAGGGGTGAACGAACGACGGATAAATTCGAACAACGTTGGGTTCGCCGGAAGCGTTGAGAGAAATATTATTGCCCAAATCGTAGAAAATGAAAAAACTGAGTGAGAATAGCTTTTCAAATTCGTTAAACGACACATTAGTACCTGTAGTGGTACCGCTGCCGGAGGTTATCCATTGACGTGAAAATAGAACCGAAAGAGGATAGAAAGGATGGTTTTCTTCGAGTGGCTTGAAGACAGGCCCCCGGTCATCGTGGCTGTTTTTCTTTTCTCTCTTTCTCCTTTTTCCCCAAAGTTTCAGAAAGCTGGTTCCGTGGAAAATCCACGAGTGTGACGAGCCTCCCTGGGTACAGAGGGTACTTCGGAGGGGTGGGACGGGAGTGAGGGTAGCCAACAGTGCAACGAATGGAGATCGATTCTGAGTCTGGGTCAGGCGAGGGCGTTCACCCCCCGGTGCAGCCCGGGAGACACGGAACCCAGGGTCGTAGCTAGGGTATCACAGGAGGGGTACTGACGGCCAGGCGAGGGTGGAGGGCGGAGGGGAGGGGTGGGCCGCACGGGACACTCCCTTCTGGCGAGTGCAACGTACGCTTCTCTGTCCGAAATCGTAGCAACGGTGTCCCCGTGGTCCGTGTCCGTTTCTGTAAGCCGACACCTATCTCGTACACGGGGTAACGGCCACGGAAAGGGACCACAAGGTCCGTGTCGCGAATTCACCGCAGGGTGTCCTACCGTGTCGGATTTTCCGGACGATTGAAACGTTTCGACGACGACGGAGGATCACCGCTTAAGATCCATTGCGGATTTTACGAGGGCGTCGAAAGTCGGAAACCAAGTTGCTCCTTCTCGGGGATTAGCGGCTACCGACAGACCTTATAAACCTTGTGTTTCCCGATGTTTGCGGTCCACGCATTTATGGATGTCCAAAGGGGGCATGGAACGTTACGCTCTGCCCTCAGTATTCCATAATCTTCTCCGCAGGGTCAAACGTACATCACGTCGCGTAACAGACGGTAGACAAAGTCCGAAATACACTCGCGACAAATGTGAAATTTCAGATTATCGAACGAACGATTATTTATCGCGGTCTTGAAGTAGCGCGCCGCCGCTGCCATTTGCGCCCCGGTGGGCCGACACTGGATATTTCTTTCGTCAAAACGAGGAACATAATACCGAACCGAGGGTTCATTGTTTGCCACGTCGTATTATTCCTTGTCTTTGTCCGGCGTTGAGAGTTTCGTGCTCGATCGTCCGTTCGGAAGGCACGAAACACGATATCGAAGTCCATGGTACTGCTCCTTGTTGATCGTCAGATAGCAGGATCGCGTTTATGCGGTGATAAAAATGCGAGTAACTTGTTATTAAGCGAGGGAATAACTGGCTAGAGTAAAATAAGGACTGAACCGCAGAGACAACTCGATCTGATACTTGGAACGGTCTCATTGTTTTCTATTGTTTGATTATGATGTAGGAACGCTATATATAGAAGGAGGATTTTGAATGAATGCGTGAGAAAAATGCATGAAATCCTCATTTCCGTTGTCGTTGCCGTGCAAAACGATAATTAATAACCTGACGATCTGTGAATGGCGCATAATGTGTTAAAGAACTAATATATTATGCTCTCGCGCAATATGTTCGTACGTGTAATGGATAATTTATATCCGCGAAGTATATGCATTTATTTCGTGCGAAATAAACATCAGGCGCGATAAATTTCTATTCCATATTTATATAGTCGTTTACATATACCACACATTATGTTACACTTTCATTTATGCTAAATATCGAACTATTCCATATTTAAACGATGATTTGATATCGTTTCTTAAATATAATTTACATAGCTATGTTATAAATAAATTTTTATGTATAAAACATATAAAATATCGAGAATGGAATAATAGTTAAAATATTTCGCGGAAACAAATTTCTACTTACTTAGTATTCATATCTTTAATCGCGTTTATAAAATTGCACGAAGATCAGCAGTCTAGTTATAAATGAAGCTGTGACGTAATTACTTTACAAAAACGCCTTAAAAAAAGGAGAGGAATTTACTTACAAAAAATTTTAACGCATGATCTTCTGTTAGTATAATCGACCTGAGCACTCTCTCAAAATCATCGTCTAAATTTCGCTATTTTCTAGCTGGCAACGACAGTGGTTTACATTTAATCAGGTAGAAATTGTTAAGAGATAATGCGGCTCATCCCTTTTTCACGTCCGCGTCGTTCATATCCGAAATGCAAAGAGGTTCTTCATACCTTCCGCTTTAACCTGACTACCAGGAGAGACTCCCAGGACGAGGTGAACGATCGACAGGGTGGTGGTACGTGACCTTTTGCTCGAAGGATAACGGCAGGGGTGAAGCGGGGGCTTTGCCCCCTCGGTAACGGGGGTGAATGCACGTACGACCCATCTGCCCCCACCCGTTTTCACCAGCACCCAACTATTCAAGTTCCCGGGGCCGGCTAATTAATAATCTTTCCGGTCAGCTCGCCATCCGATCCGGTCAATGATATACGAGTTAAGGAGAAAAAGTTCGTCTCTGCACAGACAACTGACTAATTTTGAAAACTTTCTTAAGTGTATCGTGTTTCGTCGGAACCTATTTATATGCAACCCGCCCTGGAGCTGTGCACCGAGCGCAGGATCGATCCGTGTTTCGGGAGCTTTTTCATCTCGAGCACGCTCCTCGCGCAATGCATTTAAGCTACCGATACGAGTAATTATATATTCCGGCTAGTGTTTTACTATAACGTGTGCTTTATATTTGGTGAATTATTGTTATGAAAAAGAAAAATGATAAATTGATTGATAATGAATATACTTTATTTTAATCGACGATCTTATCTTAAGGATTGATATAGTATATATGTTTCATAGATCGTGCGTAATAGTTTCGTTTGGAAATAAATAAAAGTAGAGGATTATTAAATACTTAAATAAATTAATCATTTTTGTGAAAGACACTTTTATCAGTGAATTTTGTGTTATCCTGGGAGTAAAGAAAGGATATTGAAAGAGTTCCTATGACGAACGTACGGAGCCACTTATCAATAAGTATCTTAGATCCAGATAAATGGTTGAAATTTATATAATGTAGTAATTAATGAAGTGTAAACTTATCAGACAAAATATATTTTTACAGACAAACAAGGAAACAAGTGATTTGTCATCTTATAGGATTTCGTATTCCATGTTCTGAAATACCGACTGTGTAAAAAGTAAAAGCACTGACTAAGAATAGAATAGATCTGACACTCGATGCGTTTTCTTGTGCTACATATTGACTAAGGATTTGTCGATATTTCAGGACTCAAAACGTGAAGCACGAAGCATATATGAAGTTCAATATGATGTCAGTTAATTCTACTTCTAGTATAGATTTAATATAAATAAAAATATTTGTATAAACTGTGCTTTAATGATAGTAATGCTTAAATATATGAATTAAATTCGTTTCTAGTCGAGACTTAGTCAAAAGATTCATTCAAAAATAATGGAAGAAATATCTGGCGTAACAATAATTATCGTGCTAGTTATTATCATCGTGTTTGCTTTTTCTTTGCTTTTTGTCATCGAAGATTTCTTTTTGCCAAACTCTGTTTTTGATGTCCTTTTCCGAAGACGACCGAAAGATATTAATGGAAAGCATGTTGTTGTAAGTAGTAAAAGATTAATATAGACCTAACCTCTGTTACGATTTCTTATTTCTATTTTAAAATTTTATATCTTTAATATTTTATGATAGGTGACCGGTGGATCCAGTGGTATAGGAAAATGTGTTGCAATTCTCGCTGCAAAACATGGAGCACATGTGACAATAATTGCAAGAAACATTTATAAATTACAAGTTGCAAGAAATGAAATTATCCGTGCGTGCAAAGATGAAGATGTTCAGAAAGTTGAATATCTAGCTTTAGACATTGGTAAAGACTATAATGCTGTCGAAAAAGCCCTGAGTGATTTAGAAAGAACTATGGGTCCAATATATATGTTAGTGAACTGTGCTGGAACTGCGATTTGTGGCAAAATTGAAGATACCTCAGTAACAGACTTACAAGAAATGATTCATACTAATTTCTTAGGATCATATTATTGTATCAAAGCTGTTGTTCAAAGAATGAAAGCTGCTCAAGAAGGAATTATAGTATTGACTTCTTCTCAAGCTGCATTATTAGGTATCTATTTCAATATTCCAGTTAAATGTCTTTAAATCATGTTTAATATGTAACATTTCTATTTTCCAGGTATATTTGGTTATTCGGGATACTGTAGTACAAAATTTGCATTACGCGGTTTAGCAGAAAGTATATCTATGGAACTTGCACCATATAATATTTCTGTGACTCTTAGTGCACCTCCAGACACTGACACTCCAGGTTTTGCTGTAGAAGAATTATCTAAACCACTTGAAACAAAACTTATTTCTGAAACTAGTAACCTTGTCAGTCCTAATGTAGTAGCAGAAAAACTTTTTAAAGATGCATTGGTAAGTAGAAGCAGGATTGCGTATTAATTTAGTTAAAAAGTGGATAATTGATAAAAAATTAAAACATATTTTAGATTGGAAAATTTTTTTCTACTGTCGGTGTGGAAGGATTTATGTTAACTGTACTATGCTCCGGAATGTCGCCGTTTCATTCGGTTTGGCTATTAATTTGGGAATCAACGCTTATGGGCATTTTTCGTCTTGTAGGTGCCTTCTATCATGTGCATTTTCAAAACATTATTCGGGATTGCATAAAAACTCGCGATAAAAACAAAAAATCTAAATGAAGATTTTCCACGAGCCTATATAAAAGAGCCTTTGTATAATGCATTTATAACTTTTTCCATATATATATATATATATATATATATATATAATAAATAAACTATGGTAAGAGATTTTATGCCTACGTGTTCTCTCCTTAATGTAACGTATTCACTAATTGCTGTGTTGTAACGTCATACGATTTCCAGCGAATACGTTACATTAATATCGCTCCTTATAGTGTTAATAAATAAATCGTCTACTATAAATGCTCAAAAATATAATAGAACGAACGTGTAGAAAAAGGGGGAGAGCGGGAAAATGTCGTTGATATCTCGACATGGAGGATATAAAAAGATACATATTGCAATTTTTAACGGTTTGGCTTACTTTTATTTAGTATCCCGTAAGTTCATAGTATAATGTTCTTCATTAAGCTTTATGATTCTTACACACATAGAACGGGACTGTTCTCCTCGTCCCTGCTGTCACGATACTTTGGAAAAACGGAAACGCTGTGAGACTCTGTGTGTATATTTCGATGCGGGCGATGCCCCATTGATGACGACGCCTCGCATCTGGTAATTTCCGATGCATTAAAAACGTCCTGCGCATCGACGCTGCGAATATTTTTAGTGATTCATTAGCCCTTAACTCTTTACAAAAGAAAAAAAGTCCACGCAAAGCATTGATCGATTCAGGTGCGATTTATGCCCGCGGGTGGGTGGGCAGCGTCCACCAGCGCTTGAAAACCGAGGTTGAAACTTATGCAGAGAAATGGCGAATAACGAAGATGTGTCTCTCAAAATTGTAAATTGGTAATGATCGGTTTAACATTGATTTATTATCGTTCTCTCTTTCTTTCTCTCTCATTCTCTTTCAGCCTGATCATTTTCTCTCTTTCTCATTCTTTCTCTATCTTCTTCACGCATACATTGCAGCGTTCGTACTCCCGCTCGTTATTCTCATCGTCCGTTCATCTACGTAATTGTTCTTTTTTTTTTTTTTTTTTCCTCGGCATCATCTCGCGGATTCGTTAAAGTCTATTCCGATTTATCCTAAAGCGCTCAAGGTGTACATTTGAGAATCTGCGAGACGAGGCTTTTGCTTCGAGGGACATATTCTCCTTTCCCACAAGTTTTGTTTTCATTAAATTAATTTATGATTAATTTGAAATCGATGTTCGCTTATTCGGGCGCTCGACAAACGCTTTCATCGTTATTTATTTCTTTTCCTTTCTTTCCATCGATTATGCTACCCATTTCTCTTTGCGATCGTTTACGTTTACGTTGCGATTGTACATTGCGTGTGATTTGAAATTGTCATCAGCTTCGTCGAACGTTCGAACCGGCAAACGGCACGCGTTAACGATTAATTAGACCCATTGCTACGTGTGATCTGTCGCGCATTGGAAACGTAACTATATCGTTATGGGAGGTTCCTCTGAAAACTGAACACGTTCGCGATAGATTGATTCTTCTCCTGCCGCGATCGAGACTCCTGATATTAAATCTTTCACTTCTCTTTTCCCCAGCAAACAGAAATCGTATCTATTGCCTTGCTTCGAGTTTGTTGAAACGTCTCTTCGTTGTATTTTCGACGAACGAAGAACCGCGGATATTAATACAGGGTCAGGAGACTCAATGGCTCCTATTTATTTGTCGTGCAACAAGGAAAGCGCGACGAGTCGTATATTAATATATCGTCGACAATGAGGGATTGATAAAATCTTCTCCGTCCCGAGGGTTTCGATCGACGACTGTATACCTTTTATTTATTTCTAACCCTCTACAGCTGAAATTATTTTCTACCTCAGACTATCTATATACAGAATAAAAAGATATGAAAGACTTGAACGCATCGGAATGTAAAGTAAATAAAATAACGAGAGTATACAGACATATAAAATGACAACGACAAGTATAAAAATATTTTTGTTCGGATAAAAAGAAATTCACGACACCAACACGGAGAAGTAAATATCAAATAAATGTTTATCAAGTAAACATCAAATAAACGATATCGAAATTTCTCAAGAATCTACGTACTTTGCGTTTCATTTTCAAAATTATTTACAAAACATCGTCGTAGACGAATATCACTGACAATAGCAATAAGCGGTAGAGGGTTAAAATCACAATAATCATTCACGCACACTCTTCACGGAATCAATAACCTATCCACTATTGCGGGGAATTAGCTCACACCGCGCCAGTAAACAATGTTCTTTCGACAAAATTTAACTCTTTAATTATGAAATCGTCTTACCGGCATCGATCCAGCTCCCACCATCGATCACGACTTTCATCGTATAACGCACTAACAACATTATTTTTATTCTGTTCTTTTCTTCTTCTCCCTTTTTTTCTTTTCTTTTACTTTAATAATCGAATCGGCAACCTCACTCGCGAAACTAACTCCCGCCTCGTTGATTCCGATTTGTCTTTAGAATCGCATCGCCATCTGTTACTCGTATTACCTACTATCGAAAAACTAACTTCGAGTATCTACGCGTAAGAGCACATCGACGAACTGTCAGGACGGTCAATCATCACACGAAAAAGGATCTTTCAATATTCGCGTACCGCGACTCTCGGGAACGGGTACGTATTTGTCGCTGAGGCGGACTTGATGTAGCATAATTCGCTACAAATAGCATCTGAAGGAAAAGGTTGTACGATTAAACTTGTACGATTCGATTCGTGGAAGCAAACATTGAATTAATCAACTGTACGTATCAATGGTTCTCGATCTCGGTACTTTCGTCTTCATTTCTGTTAAAAAAAAAAAAAAAATAACAAACTCACGTATTCACGTTTCAATTCAATATTTACACCAAGAAATTACAAGTCTTAACTTTAAATTATATTTTTATCACCAATGCAAATAATCGAATTAAAATTGAAATTGGCGTCGCTAGGATTGAAAGTCAACATCCGCCTCGCGAACCATCGACAAAAACCGAGAATACATAAGTACGTACATATTTACTCAAGCCTGCAAAGGCGGGCATCTTGAGAACAGAAAAATCCGCGACACTTAAGAGCTACTATAGACAATGGTACAAAAATTCAATGCTGCCTACGACGTTAGTATACCTTAAACGACGTTTTTATTTAAATCATCATCATCGTCATCATTATCATCGTCATTATTAGTATAATCATCACCAGCATCATCACTAGAATCTTAATCTTTCTCGTCTCCTCTTTGTTATCACCGTTATAATAAAGAGGCGACGAGGACGAGCGCGGAAATTACAACTTCCTTCTTCCACCTGGCGAGGGGAGGCCTTGGTTGTTGTAAGAAGAAAAAAAGGGTGCAGGAAGCGGGTATGCTTTAATTGTGGCCTCGAGGTGAGCCCTATCTTTAGCCCTTTCTTTTTATCTTTCGCCACGAGTGGCCTCGCGAGGCGCGGGAAGAAGAAAGGGAAGAAACAGTACAAGAAGGATTGTTCCCGGTCGTCCCTTTTTATCTTAAAGTGCGTCATTCGACCAACGCCTTACCAACGTCAGTCCAACGAACAACCCTTTTTTCACTCTTCGCGTGTGTATGCGTTTCTTTTTCTTCTACTTGCCCATTCACACTTTGTTTCTTTCTCTTTTTCTCTCTGTCTCCCGTTCTCTCTCACTTTCTCACTTTCATTTCCTCTCGTTTCTTTTTTTTTTGTTAGTTGCACATGTACTCCCTCTCTCTCTCTCTCTCTCTCTCTCTCTCTCTCTGTCTCTTTTTTTCTCTTTCTTTCAATTTCTCATTCGTTCTTCTCCACGCGTGTAATTTATCATGTACACACAGTCACCGATTGCCGCGAAAAGTTCACGTATACCGCATGTACGCCCGCACTTGATTATATTATGTCAGACAATATAATCCTTCATTTATATCCGTTAGTTCTTACGCTATGCGTTAATTAGTGTTACATCTAGTCGCGTGTGGCCGGCCCGTGCTATCCAGGAACGCCACTGCATCCAGTCGCGCTCCTTTTTGTTGTCTCGATGCACCGATATGCCAAGAAAAAAAGCATACGTCACGGTGCTTTACCCACTGTTCCTCTCCTATCTTTACACCCCCTGCCGCGTTTGGTTTCTGTTTTTTTTTTTTTTTTTGCATAGGTTTTCGCGCAACGAAGATTTCTCGGGAACGTCGCCGCAATAAATGAACTCGTGGAAATTTTACACAAATAATTTCGCGCGTCATCGATCGACTCAATGAACAAAAGTTGGCAACGATGTGATGACCGATCGATTACAAAATCTGTGAATTGAAGAGAATCGGACGAGAATCCTCGAACGCGAGTTTCTCTGGAGTTTCTTTCACAACCAGCTGTTGCCTTGAAACACAATCTCGAGCCGGTTAGCACGGGCGGCCAGACCCATTCGAATGCGTTTACGATCCGAAAAATTACACAGTAACGTTATTTATTTCTTTTTTTTTCTTGTTTGTTTCTTTAGTGTAACACGTACGGCATATCGTTAATTAACGTTATGTTATTTATATACTATATATTTACAATCACATGAATCGTAGATATTCTAACGTATCGTTCGTCTCGTTCGACTAATCTCCGTTCCAGCTTTTCAGTTCCATCTGCTCTCTTCAACCCTCATTTCCTTCCCTTCCCCCCTGCCCCCTCCTCCCATCCTCGCACAATCGCCGATTTTCTTTCACTTTCTTCACGGTTATCTATTGTTCATATAGTTACGCCCGATAGATTCTTTTGCATCTCTTCTCTTAACTTTAACTCCTATGCTTTACCTTCTCGCTATTTTCCCCGTGTTATTTGTTGCGCCGCTCTTTCCAAGTTCGAGCTGAAACTTGTTCAATATTTTAACACCGTATTGTGCAACGTATTCGCGCGCGTACACACATATACATATATATATCTATCTGTCCGTCTGTATATATATATATATTTATATATATATTTATATATAATATAAAAAACAGTATCTCCTAACGCTTGCGAGAAGAAAGCAAATTTACAGGACGCCTCCGGCGACCCAAAAAGCTGTCCGTCTGTATGTCTATACAGCCGAACATGCAGAATGAGAAAACGGTCTGGGTCAGAATCGATTATAGCGTCTCATCCATTGTTACTTCGAGTCGATTCCCACTTTTTTTTTTTTTTAACTTTCCATCATCGAACGATAGTGGTAGTTAGAATATGCAAATTACGCGATCTCTCGCGTCTTGCGGATAGTTTCATCGATCGGCGATGGGAACTTTACGAGCCAAACGTTCACAAAGAATTTGAAGGATTGGCGATAGAGGAGGGAGAAATCATTTTAATGTCTGAACGTCGCGTAGGAGTTTTAGCCTGTATAGTAATTACTGTTAATTTTATTTTACCTCGCGTGACCCATTCCGTTACGAAACTTGACACGCATGCACGGATATATAACATTTTTTTTTTTTATTGGCCTGTGTTTATACTCAATGCGCTTCAAGTACCAAAATTTGTCACCGTGGATCGTCTCGGAGCAATCGGTACGTTTTATTTATGCTCTCTCTTCTTATTCGAGTTTCTTCGGTGAAGATCGAGTGTTGAGTACCAAGTACAGAACTAATCTCGTTGAACGTATTTCGAAATAGAACACGTTTGAATAATACAGGCAGTGATATTTTTCGTCATACGAGTAGAATCGATAAATGCACAGATGAGACTTGCTTTCTCAGTCGTTTTGGAACGATTTTAGATTCGTGCAAAAATATTCAGGAACTGTAGAGAAAATGTAGCACGAAAAGGAAGTCGATTTTATTGCACGATGATAGATAAATGACTTCTCTGATGAAAACGATTTTAGCTCTCGAGTTTCTTCGATGTAATAAATTGACGTATAAAAGGTAAAAGTCACAAATGTAGTCTTCAAAATTAAACAATTCCTATTTTCCGTTTGATCTTCAGAAGAAACTTTTCAGCTTAACTTACACCGACCTAAGGTATGAACAAACAAGCGTAATTACATTTCAAAATTCTAACGCTGTACTTCTTTATTCCATTTATGACCTACGTGTCCATTGTCAACTTTAACCTATCGTATCTGAAGTTGCAATATTAAAGCTTCCAACATTCTAATTGATCATTCGATCCTCGTAGCTCAGTGAAAGGATTGAAAAAAAATAAAAAAAAAAAAACGAGGAAATTATTCGTTTGCACGTACCTCATGCTATCGGATGATTTCGACGGACCGTCTGCCGGAGACGATCGTCGAGATGCATCCATCTCTCGAGACGATCCCGAGATGGACGTAGTACACGGTCGAGTACAGACACATTTCGCTAATCGTCTCTCTAGTCGAATATAATTAATCACATCGCTTTCAAAAGTCTCATCGAACAAGTTTCAATTCTATCGAGCGGCGGCGGACGAAGTTCTGTTGGCATTCTCCGATCACCTTAGCACGCATTCTGTGTTATCTTCTTTTTTTTTTTTTTTTTTTCGTTACCGTCCTCTCCCGTTTCGATCCCCTCATCCCGTCGATTCTTCGATTCAATTCGATTTTTTTTCTTCTTCTTCCGGTAGAGTTACACTCGTTCGTCGTCGGGTTAATCTCTCGATGCGAAAGAAACTACGAAACCCTCCCAACGTCCCCACAGACAGAATCTCGCGATCGATCACGAAGACTTCGTTATTGTTTGGCTTCCCCGCGAGAATGACACGAAGATCGCGAAACACCACTGACAATGACGGATAATGAATGAAGTAGGGAGGGGAAACTCGTCTTGAACTTACGTCTTTAGTCGTTGCTTGTTTTTCGGCTACTGGGAGTTCGTACACGATCACTTCCCTCGCGACGAATCAGCGTCTTCGTTCAGGCAAATATGTACAATGATCTCTCGCACGATGTTTACCGATTGATTAATTAATTAGAATGATTGTTTCGAACGACGGACTTGCGTAACTTGAGGGTACAAAATGGTTCTATAATTCGCGCGTGTTTTTCAGATAGTTGGAAGATCGTGTGTGTTTATTATATAATTCCTATAAAAAATTCGTCTTCTGTGTGCCGCTTTTGAAGGAGAGGAAGGGTAATTCGCAAGCTTCGTGCCGTTCGTTTGATTTCCCCACCGCGGACCGAAGCGACCACTTTTCGATCGCGCGAAGAACACGCGTCGATTTCACGGGTACATCCCCCCCCCCCCACCCGAGATTAATTAACCCCTAATTGCTAACGGCCGGATCATACTATCTCGACACGCGAGTCACGCGTGTTCCTTTTTCACGCCTGCTCTCTTTACACACCATCGAGCTTCCCTTGTAAACACAAAAGTAAAATCGTCGTTGGGACGCCCGCGATCGACGATTGTCACGTTCACCGATGGCCTCGATCGCGTTCGATCACGACGTGATCACGACCGAGTCACGTTCGAAAAGCGGACTCGATCCTTCGTTGTGAAGAATTCCTTCCCTCGAAACGCAGGAGTTTTCGATGAACGATCACTGTTGCAGAGTGTAAGTCGTCTGACGAAAGGAAACCCTGACTAGTTACACGCGTACGACCATGAGACTCCATTATTTTGATCAGTTGTGTTTTGACCGAGAATTTTAAGAGCATTTTTCTTTGTTTTTCTTTTTTTTTTTCATTTTTGCACCTCTTGCGAAAGTAAAACGAATGCAGGCAGTGATTTGCCAAACCGACATGGCCTACGGCCACTAACTTTTTCCTCTTCGTCTTCTCGCGGTTCATCGTGTTCTTCCATCGACTTCTCTTCTCTCGTCGTTCATCGAGCCACCACGAAGTCTCCCCGAAGAAGCCTCCCACGTGCACGCTTTCCCTCGTCTCTTCTCGCTGGAACGTACCGCGAGGAGTCTCGTAGCAGGAGGTAATCGATCATCTCTCGATGTTGTCTTCATCGGTCGTTTCTGATTATCGTTCCGACGCGAAGTAAGATGGATTCTTCGAATAAAGGACCATGAGGATCAGAAGGACGAGGACGAACAGACGGCTGCCGTGGCTCGAGTACAGCGTCACGACGCCCGCCAGCCACCATAGCGTCGGACAGCCACCCGGTGCCGAGCTGATCCCTCTTTGAATCGCGGCAGGATGCTCGCCTGTATCAGAGAATCGATTTTTACATCATACGCTATATTTTATCACCACGGTAACGCGGCGTATTGAATGATTTTTCTTTTTCTATCTGCAGAGCGTGACCGTTTCCTCTGCCTACGCACACACACATATATATGTATGTATTATATATACATATACATATGTACGTGCATCTGCAATCGCGAAGAATTTCGAGAACTTTTTAAATAGACAGATCGATACCGCTCGTTTGCAGTTAAATGGTTGACCTTTTTTTTTTTTTTTTTTGAAAATTCGAAAGTTTTAATGAAGTTGAGAGTACGGAACTTTTAACGCAGCTCGAGAGTTCGGAATGGTATTGTATGCTTAGCAGAGTTTGTCCTTTTTTGGTATTTCTATTTTTAATTACAAAGCTACCGAGTAGTTTCGCATTTCTACGTAGCTGGGAAAGTGAATCGACGAATATTTGCAACGTGAAACTAATAAATAAAGATCAACGAATTGTTTTAAATCTCTCGCGTTAAATCCCGGGAATCTACGTTTTATTTCCGCTCGCGCTTCGATTCGAGACGTCAACGGAAGGATTGAACTCTGTTAAATTATTAGCGAACTAATTTCATCGAGTTAGCGAAGTACAGTTTCCATTTGTGTTTACTATTATATTTCGAGAACTCTTCCCAAACAGTCAGGTCGGCATTAAGTTTCCAAGTGAAACTTTCATCGGATTAATTCTATCGAATTAAGATCTAGCGTGTCGTATCCGTCCGTTTTCAAGCGACGGGAACAACAATTTTTCGTTTCGTATGCACTGCGAGCGTGCAATTATCACGAAAGTAATTTAAGTTACTGGAACGGAATGGAAATGCTTACCATTTAACACGTGAAGCTGCACGCTCGCGCTGTCCAAACTGCTCGGACTGCAGGTGTAATTGCCCGAGTCTTCCCGCTTCGCTTTGTGGATTATGAGGCTGCTAACCGTGTCGTGATCGATCCTCTTCGTCTGGATGTCGATTTTGTTCAGCTGGTAGTCGAGCACGCGGTCACCCTCGTGGTACCAGAAAACGTAGAAAGGACCCTCGAGGGACTGCTTGATCACGCATCGTATCGCCACCGTGCTTCCGGTCTTCACGTACATGTCGCGATCGCCTATGATCTCGATCTTTGGCACTGAAAAATTCGACCGTTATTTATTTATTTATTCCTCGCTTAATTGGTCTTGAGAAACATCGCTTTGCGCTAAATATTAACGAATATTTAAATCCTTGCAAAGATAAACCCCTGCCAAGGAGTTTTCGCAATCAAACGCAGAGTAGTGTTCGGTAGTATTCAACAACATTGAGATCTTTGATATGCAAATGCTATTGTGTTTGTTTGAAATACAGGGAGGAAAATGAAATTCAATTTGTAGAAGGTTTCTATGTTTTTTAATATTACACGATCGTATTCTTGCGTTCGAGAGGAAACCTTTTGCCAGAGGTATTATGGAGAGGTTGTAATTGCACATTCATGCCAAATTTAAATAATACATATGATACACACGATTTATAATGTTGTTATAATTTTTAATGATTAGACATATAAATTTGTGTAGTTACATAATGTTTGTAATACGAAAAAGAGTGAAAGTTTTTGACTGCAGAAATATTTCGTTCGAACAAAGCAACGTTTGTCTCAAATCCCTGGAAATATAATCATTTCTCCCATCGTATCAACGTAGTAACAACGAATACATTTGTTTTCGCGACGGGAAGCTTCACTTCTACTGATTATCGCGTATTATTATCGACGATCGAGTATCGCGAAGCATGGAACGCGTTAATTAGAAAAAAAAAAAAAAAAAAAAATACGGAGCGTACCATATCCCCGGCGCTTTAATCTCTCGTTCAAATCTCTTTCGTTTCAACGTATTCAAAGAGCATTTCTCCGTCACGTTCGATGAAAGTCGAAGCACGGCGATCGCCGGTGGGTCGCCGGTGGCCCACGCTGTCACGGAACGGTGTTCAATGTAACGCAAGAAGGTGATCGAACGACAAAGAAAATTAATTACTAAATACGCCGAGCAATTACCCGAGTGGACATTTTAGCGCCTCGCACGGTACGAGTTGCCGCGATGAGAGAGAGAATGTCTGTATTTTACGCTCGTATGATTTTTTATCACGTCGTTGAAACACGTTCCGCTCGCGAAGTGTTGCTACGCCGATCGATGACAGAGCTCTTCTCTGACGACGTAAAAATAACGACGCCAGCGCGACGGAATTGAGCGACGATGGTCAATGGTTAATTTCTAAATGTACCGTAAATGCAACCGATGATGTATCATTGAAGAAGAGATGTTACATCATCCAACGATATAGTATCTCGTTCGATATCGTATCGTTATTGACGTGAAAGAATCTTTATACTGCGATCTCACCGACGATGTTGAGCTTGATGATGTGACTCTTCTTCGGATCGGTCGAGATTTGGCACTCGTACTCGCCTTCGTCGCGTGCCTGCACGTACTTAACCTGCAGGGTCCAAGTGTCCGACGCGTCCACGAAAAGCGCCTGGAACCTTTCGTCCGGGATAAACATGGTTCTATCTACCGAGAGGATATGCGAATCCCTTCTTCTGATCCACGACACCTTTCGTATTTTGGGAACAAACAGATTTGTTTTAATAACACAGCATGGTTACATGGCAGCACAATTATTATCGCCATTATTGGTGTTACCGGGACAAGAATTTGGTAGGAATTTTAAATTTCGTGGCATTAATATTTTAACTTTGACACTAGAGCTACCAAAGTGGTCAAAATATGACGAAATATAATATTTTTAGAAATTTAAATTGTTTTTCGAAAAATATGTAAATAAAAGCTTGCAGTTGCAGTCTGTTATATTACAAAGCTTTTTCTATTTCTTTACTTTTTAATGTCTCTGATGGAAATTTTATGTTTCAACCACCGGTAGTTCTGGTGTTAATATCTTAACTGAAATTATTCTGCTTGTTTGGTTAGGAATCTTAATTCAAATCGTTCTAATCTAAATCTAGTTTAACTAAATTTCCCAACATTGACGCGGTGATTTGAACAAAGAATGTTGAACAAGACTCAATATCACAAGTACATGATATTAAAGATTTAACATTACTCAAGTATGAGGATTTGCCATAAATTGCACTTTCTTTTCTTTTTTTTTCTTTTTCATCCGAAATACGTGACCGAACTGAAGAAGCACGTCCTACTTATTTTAAAGATAAGCTAAAAATAGAATCGCGCAAGTATGAAACACGTTCAGAGGGAATAAATTTTTCCCACGAGACATTTAACCGGTTCAGTGAAAGACGATAATATTATACGAATTATTTCCTCTATCGACACACTGATTGTTTTCTCGTATCGACATTGTACGGTATCAACACACGTGCGACTATAAACTTGTCAAGTATTCTTACAAAACTCCGACACAGACGAAGAGTGTTTAAAACTTGTTTAGAACTCGGGCAGGAGGAGTTTTCTCGCGCCATGTCTCCATGGTCTTTTTCCATCGTTAAAGTGACTAGAACCAGTGGCTTGAAAGTTTGGTCACCTACTTCAGCATCGCCCTACGTATATTCCTACGGTTCGAAATGAGCCGGTATTCTCTTGCTTTTTTTCTCAAATATCAAGATGTAACATTCATATTGTCGATTAAACGTGACAGAACGTGATATGAGAGTTTGTCTCTTCGTAATCCTAATAATAAATGTTTAAAAAAATGTTGACACTTAATACTAAAACTACCAAGGACTGAAGCATAGAATTTTCATCGGAGATATTAAAGTGAACGAAATAGAAATGCAATAGAATGCACAAACTTTTATTCGTGTATTTTATTAAAAAATCATTTAAACCTCTAAAATTACACTATTTTGCATCTGTAATGTAATATTATAGAATATTTAAAAAAATTATGAATTAGTCATTTTGACCAATTCGATCTAGTTCTAGTATTAATATGAATCCGTCCGGTTGCTTTAACACGGGCGAAATCCTTCAAGGTTCTACGATCTCGCAATTTATACGTCGCCCAGCTCAACAATCTCTCATGCTACAGTGTATTACGCTTTAAAACTTTTTTTTTTATCGCACTTTTTACGATTTCTCCAGCTTGAAATGGCAGATTTTGTTCGTAAAACGCAAACAAAAGAAGAAAAAGAGAGGAAGGAAATGGCCATAACGAACTTACACAATATTACCCGGACTTCTTTTTACGGACGCCTTTGCGAATTACATCTATCAGGCTTGCACTTTGTGCATCCTAAACGCGTGTTTAAAGTAAACTCGTAAATTAACGCGAGTCTACAATACAAAAACAGCCTATTCTGAGAAACTACTTCGCAGAGACCGTGCGATTAATATTTATTAGCGACTTGAAGGGAAAAATCGAGGTGCAGGAAACAGCGGTGGTGATACGATTCCTTTCATCAATTTGCGCAGAGGGAGAGCAAGAGAGAAAGAGAGAGAGAACCGCTTCAATCCGACAGTTTTTGCCAGGCACGGTCGCATCGCGAGAATTATTAATTCCTTCTCCGATACGTAACTCTCGGCTCTATTGTTAGATTTTTGGTGCGCGGCCGTTTCTTCCACGCCGTGGCGGACAAAAAGCGAAATAAAGCAACAGACATGTTTCCAGTGACGAAGTGAAATTCAACCGTGTCTGGCTCCTGGAAAATTCGCGAGCTCCTCCCTGTGTGTGGCTTGAATACGGCACGGAGAAGCCCGGGCCGAGCGCCCGGCGGAAAAAGCGGTGGAATACGCGAGCCAGCCCGAGATGGAAAAAGAGCCCGGCACTGGCTCCACTCTCCGATCTTGCTCGATCAATCTTCCTTCCCGTGTCTACGGTTAATTTATCGTGCGTCGAACGTGGCGTTTGCGGACGTTTTCTTCTATCGCGTGGCGTCCGATTCATACAACGGTTTACAGGAAAGAAAACCGTATTAGGAGTGGAGATCGGATCGAGCGCCTCGCAAATACGTTCGGATCTTTAAAATGCCATCGAGCGGATCTCGCCTAACTTTGCACGTTCCCGTTCAGTTTTGACGCGATTTTGTACTCCGTGTCAATTTAGAAAAACATCGATATCTAACTGAAAGTATTCGAGTAACTTCTGGAAATGTCGAACCTTATTTTGTGATCTAATCTAATGTGACGTGTATAATCTTACGAATATTACGAGAACGTTTTCGAAACTTACAGATGTTCTAGGATTCGTTAACACTAGCGATTGTACACTTGTTGACATATTTTTATTCTCAAACGTGAAACTTAGAAGTTTCTTGAAGAAACTGAAGTGTTGATCTCGGATTCGCAAGTACGCTGAACTTGGAGCAGATTAAAAAATATATATCGATTCGCATCGTTTTGCCTCTGTGCGAAATCTACGAAGTTGGCGTAATCAACGAAGGTGGAGTAATTGCTGTTTCGTTCGACGCGAGGTTATGTTTCGGCGCGCGAGAAATTTGCAACCGGTATGGTCGACAGTAACCCGGTGAACCGTAATCTTTCGATCGATTCCTGAAGCGCAATCGTTATCCGGGAAATTCCAAACCGGACGGAATTCGTTTATCTCGGTGAACGGCGTTCGTTGAAACCCCGGAGAATCAACCACTCCCTATCTCCCTCCATCTTTCGCTCCATCCCCCCTTTTTCTCTGCGCTTTCTCTTTCTGGATCTCTCTGGCTCAATTACGATTGTCGTGCCATTAATTTCCATGGAGAAGGCAATAAATTAGTAAATCCCGCTTCCACGTTCGCGTTACGTTCCATCGATCGCTTCCGCGACTTTTCTGGAATTCCTTTCCGAAAGTTTCCACGGAACTCTTAACTTCGCCCGATTCCCCCGGATACGAAATGGATTTAATTGCACCGACATGGATCTCGAAATCCTTTCTTCGCGAAGTTCGTCGTTCATTCCGACGCGCGACCAATTCCACGAACGATTACGCTGTTTTATTCCCTTCGTTGCTAACGCCATGTACGGGGTGTTTCATCACGACGGATCAATTACAGCGGAATGAAATAAATGTGTTTTTCTATTTTTTTTTTTTTTTTTTTTTTTATTGAACGTACGTACGTTCGTTCGTTTATACTTTTAGTTCGATCTTAGATGTCTGTAAGCTTTCGACTGTCCTTTCAAAGAGAATTCAGATATGATACGATATCTCCCGATCTTTTCATACCTGGTGAAATTAAATTACGTCAGATTTCATACTTATACGAAACTGATTGAAACAGGCTCGTCATTACTAAGATTGGGTTTTGCAATAGTATATACCGCGTGTGCAAGTACAGAAGTTCCGAAAAGCGAAAGAGCACGATTTCAAATAACCGTAGAAATTATTTTATCTGCAGATCCGTGAAAACGACCGATGCAACACCGTGTACTCGCGCAAAGGGAGTAGCTAAAAAAGGACAAGCTCGAGCCATACGATATTCATCCAAAAAAAAAAAAAAAAAAAAAAAGAAAAGCAGAGAAAACAAATATTTCGCCTTTTGTCTGATTTACAGCTCGGATACATACCATGCATCGCCAACTCGAATTCCACTCGAACGAACGGAAGACGTGGAAACAAATGCAAAGTCACCGACGGCGCGACCGTGTTCCGTAAATTGTCCGACGAGAGTAATCGCTTTCAATCGTGTTTCCCGGCCAGCGAGGCGCAACGGTCAGCGTCGGAGAGCCAGTGGTAAGGGTTACGTTTAATTCCGCGCGCGATAAGAAGAACCGAAGAGGGGAGGATGGGAGAAATTTGTAGGGGCGGCGAGCCCGTCCTGTATGAGTTCGCGGGTTCTTAAGTACGCAATCGGATGATTATGCAAGGGTCGCGTGTCGTCAGACACTTAGTCCTGGCTCTTTCACCAGTACAAGTTCCGTTGTTGTACTACACCAACTGGGGGGGAGGATAAAACTTTGCTAACGAGTGTGATACGGGCCGCGTGCGAGAACTTTTTCACCACCCGCTCGCATCCTTTCTCTCTCTCTCTCTCTCTCTCTCTCTCTCTCTCTCTCCGAACTGCCCAAAAGAGAGAACCTTCAGCTTCAACTTTAAAGAATCAGCTGCCTGTCACCGGTAATCTGGGTTACTTCCATCGTTTCTCTTTTGTCTCTTTCTCCGCCTCCGCCTCTCGATCGTAAAATTCACGCGACTCGTATAATCCGTTCTAACGGCCGCGAACGCGAACAGATTAGACTTTTATAGTTTCGCATAAATCGCGGCGCGGATAGAGCGGAGGACCGTGTGCACCGTGATCGGCGGTTTATTGCCGGCGTTTCGATTATTGTAATAGCGGGAGCCGGGCCGAGGCGGACTATCGACGGAAACGGAGGGCACGATAACGCGACTTTTTGATGGAGGATCAGCGGCTTCGTGGAAAACCGACGCGGCTCGTCGACACGATCGCTATCGCTACGGCTCGCAGTCACCTCGCAGAAAACTGGGTATTCGCGTGCAAATAAATTCGCTTTATCTGCGGGTGGCGCGGCGAGCTGGTATCCGGTCGTGCTTTTTGCAAGGGACCGGCACGAGATAACGTTGGCTGGCCCGAAGTTTCCTCGGCTCGGTCGAAACGAGACGAAATTAAGGGATCTGTAATTGAAGAATTCACAGCCTCGACCAGAGGCGAGAACGTTCGTTTCGTTCAGTTTCAATCTTGTTCGGCGAACACTGCCGGTGATCTTAAGATCTGTATACAACATCCGCGAGTTGCAGGAAACGTCGGAAGTTTTAATTGGTAGCGTTTCTATCGCGGACATGTATATACCTAGGAAAAGGAGAACAGTTAGAGGGCGAAGGACTTACCGATTTATTACCAAGCTGTCGCACTTTGCACGGCAAGTAGGCATGACTTCCCAGCTGGGCCGTGATGTTCGTGGGTGTGTTTGAATCGAAGTACGGACCCGTGTAAATCCCGTCGAACCTCTTCACCAACGAATGGGATCTTGTGCTCACCCCTGCAAGTTTCCATCAAGATCATCAAACAATCGCGTACGTGCACGATTTAATTAAAAGTTCAAATACATAGAAAATGTTGAGGCGATTCCAGTTTAATAAATCATCGATGTTTCGATATTTTATTCAATGGAATCTTCAATCTTCAATCCTTTCAGAGTTGAAAATGTAAAGCATGTAACGAATTAAGAATACATTCATCTTTAAACATACAGCTTTCTATGTATCTGTTAGATACATGTTATTTTCTAGTATATATATAGTAAACTGATTATTTTAAATATCTCAGACTATTTATACGATTAAACGCTCAAAGACAATAAGATCGAGATTGATATCTTTATGATTATTGCATCTAGGATTTGAAATAATAAAATCTTAATGTAAAATCACACTAATTTATCGTCGCATAATATACACAAAGATGGTTCAGTCTAAAATCGCCGTGTTAAAAACGAAAATGTTTCTCGCGTCGTGCAATAATCATCGTGCTTTCATCCATCGACGATGTCACAACAGACAACACGCTGTTTCTCCTGCGTACGAACGCGAGACGTTTGTTTCGAATCTCCGTCAAAGTTTACTTTTAACCCAAATGAACTTGTTACGTCCAAAGAGAATACATTAACACGGCGGTTGAACCGCGAGAGCTTGTTATCTTGGACGAATTTACATTGTACGGGCAGTGGTAGCGTTTCCATGATGGAATAATAAAAGGATCATGGAATATACTGTATTTCGTATTCGTAGCGTCTATATACGATTACTCTCTCTCTCTCTCTCTCTCTACACCCGCATCTCCGCTCCTTTCACCCTTTGCCTTTCGAAATAAATCCTATCAGAGAGCTTCTACCGGGCCATCGTGTATCCAGGAAATGGATACTAATCCAGAGGATTTCGATCCTCTAGGTATCCAAAGTCGGATCAGCGCTCGCCTCGGATAGCAAGCCGGTGGGCTTCGTTCCAGCGACCTTGAGGAAGGCCTACTTCCGACCTAACGTCCCGCTACGTAATTGAAAAGAAAACGCCAACACGTTCACGCGTTCCACCGCGATACACCTCCAATATAACGTGTATTGGTTTCGTTTCTTTTCTATCGGACCGATCCTCCGGAAACGCGACCGGAAAATCAACGCGTCGCGTCGCCGGAAGTTACAAGCTACGAGACACCGAAGCGTCGAAGCTGCATGCGCTTGGAAAAATCCACGCGGCCTGGTACGTCTTTCCGCGAGGGATTGAACGGAGCCGGTCGATTTATCGCTCGGTCGGAAAGTCTTCGAAAGTCCGCGCGAGAACACGCGGCACGGGGAGCCCTTTGTCAAAAGGGACGAAGAAAAAGGAAGAGGAGGGAAAAAACTCGATAGAACATAAAGCTATCAGCTCGACGAAAGTTTCTCGCGCGTTCAACACCCGGGTCTGCTCGTTCCTAACGTCCCAGCTGAGGCTGGAAACGACTTTCCAGGATGTTACGCGCAAGAGAACAGGAGGGAACATTCGACATCCGTCCGAGAAGCTACGGTAACTACCAGTCGCCGTGAAATCGAAGTACGCGCGTATTATTACACGTGCGCATACGTGCACGTATTCATTATTGGCCGCAACTTGCGGTTTCACGGCTATTTATAACAGCATTCGTAACGAGAAAAACAATTGATCGACGCGGGGGCTCCGGGGGTACGGTTCTTTCATTTATTGGACGACCGCTCTATTGATTGAGTTATTCAGGTCATCAACAACTTTTTCTTCCCGGTCTGGCTGCTCGAAAATAGCTGCTATCGACGTATTACTTTCCGCGTTCTCTCGCTGCATTTTCGGTGCTTCGCTGACAAATCGCGCGGACCCGCATCTTTCTTCTTTCTTTTCTTCCTTTTTTTTCATTAATTACGAGACCGCCGGTTATTGTGTCCATTCCTTTGTGTCGCGTTTCTTCCACGGCATCTTTCGCGTCTGCCTTTGTGTCTCGCTTCTTCCACGGCGCGAAAGAACAAAGACGTTGTCGCAGGCTTATCGATCGGCCGATATGATATAACGCGGCGATATAATTGTTAAACAGCGTACCAGGCTATAGATCCGTACGCGTGTTTTGCCTGGCAGGAAGTAAGTGCCAGTCATTACCGCAGTACAAACAAAAACGTCCCGTGTCGGTGGCGAATGACGTCATTGCAGGGAAACGTGTTAAGGGAGTGTAAGGAGAACGCATTAACGATATTGCCGTATTATTCAACATATTTTAAGCGACGGAGAAACGAAAGAACGAGGCAAAGGAAACTGATATCCCGCGCGTTCGTACTTTCTCTTTACGTTGGCGCTTCGAACCCGAGCCGGAATGAGAATGTATTATGACAGCCGAGCGGGTAGATAAGGAAAGCCCACGATATATACCAGTTACACTAATTCCCGCGAATTACGTATAATATCTGAATAATATCACTTCGTTACCTCGGACATCTTGCAGTGATAAAACGCACGTTACTCGTTGCCGAGGACAAGGCAGAATTATTCCCGTGTTTCACGAAATGTGCGGAATGAGAACGTGTCGTGACAGGGGTGGAGGTTACGTGACGTGCGTGCCCGTTATACTAATCGTTACGAATTTTTACGTAACGTTTCGACGACGGTTGTTTCGGAAATTTTCCGCGCAGTACGCGCGAGTATTTAACTGAAAAGATCTCGAACTTTAGCTGCTGGTGGAAAATTTCCAGTTATTTCAGAGGATACCGGGGAGCATGTTAAATCGTCAGATGTTCATGTAAATTCGCATTTTTTTCGCGAACGTTGTTAAAAAGGTCTAATCCAAATAGAAATTGCTAAACAAGCGAATTACCGTAACAAAGAGTGTCGCTTCTTTCTATCTTTTAATCCGTGAAATTCTGAACATTATCAATTACCAATTCTACATGTTATACAGATATATCACTTTTCTCTCTCTCTCTCTTTCTCTCATCCCATCGACAGAAATATACAAAAGAAGATTTAGTAGAACGAGAAACAAAACAGGATTAACAAAAGGCGGATGAATTATAGAAAGTCGCGGGACGTTCGATCGATGGTCCGAGGAGGGGGGCCGCGTTGGTATCGCGCAGAACCGAGCGTCGTCGTCGGCAAAAATCGAACGTCCGCATTGGCAAATAACATCCGGCCAGATAAATCCACACCCTTTCAATAACGCCGGCATTCATAACATTTAGAGTGCACGGATTATTGCATTATTGGCGTCGCTTGATCGGAGGGTAAACGTTCGAGTGGCGGCCGAGTGTGTCAAGCTCGGGGTTTCGTCGTAGCCGCGCGCCGCGTTCAAGCTTTTGCCAGTTACGGTTCCCGTACGCGTGTGCACATGTGTCAAAAGGTATCTGTGAATATCCGCAATTGTCCGGCGCAATTCTGTAGCCGGTGGTATTATACCGGCGTTTCAACGTTGGCCGCGGATACTTTAGTTGCTCGTTGGTCTACGTCCCGTCGCGGAAGCGAGCAACGTTTCGTCGTCTAGTGCGCATCCGGTTTTCAACAGCCAGGCAAAATGCACCGATATGGGCGCCGATTACGTCGTCGACAAAATAACTCCTATTTTCGTACGTGACTTTAAAACACACGGAAGCTATCGTTCCTTTCCATAATGGCTCCGCGTACACATCAGCGACGAGAGGATTAAACGACGCGACGCGTTTAGCTCTATCTCTCGTCGTTTTCGGAACGTTACGAACGAGCCTGCAACGAGTCAAATAGCCAAGTGCTCGGGGGATGAAGTTTCATCGAACACTCGAGGGAATGGGAAGCTCGAAGGAACGTCGCAGGGACCTTGAGGGACAAAAATATCCTCGTCGACCTCGTGTACGATCGCTTCTTCGAGTTTTAAAACAAACTGGCGAAGATGGGATTTCCTGTGTCTTCAGAGGTTTCCCAGTGCTTCTGTCCTTTTTATGTGCGATTTTCACGAAAGCGTTGCATTGAAGAAAATGTACAGAATTAGAGCAGTATACGTAGTAGTGGAGAACGATGAGAAAGTTCTAGCATCTCACTTTTGTCCTTCCATTTTTATTTCATCTTTTATTCATTGAAATTAAGAATTCAGTTGGTGTTTAAAAATTAAATTAATTTACAGTTGGTATTAACCGGAAAAAGATCGAGTGTATTTTTAGAAAAGCGAGGATCAATTTATTTGGAAATTTATTTCCTCTGGGGCGCCGTCAATCTTGAAGGCACGACAACGAAATTTAGAAAGCGTGTATGGAAACGAATATAGAATCCAATTGGGCATCCAATATATCTTCACTTCAACACAAAGGAAAAAATAGAAATAGTCGTTGTCAAGTTGAGAAAATTCATCTACAACTAAAAAAATGCATTACATGAAAATCGAAAGAGAAGTTGTGAGAATTTTGACGACATGTGTTGCGAATATTTGTGAAAATCCCGGAGAAACGGGTGAGACTCCTTCACATAGTATATATATATATATAACGTGCTTATAAAGCCAGCTAACGTGTTTATGAGAAATCGCGCCGTAAGAGAGAATTTGCATGTCGCGTGAACTCGACGATCGATCAACGAAACGATCCTGCCCCCGATGGTATCCTGCTAATTCCTACGAGCCGATATCCTTTTAACTGCATCTCGGCCAATCGTTCCACGCTCGATGAATCGATTTGCCAACGCGTTTCCGTTCAGACGGCGCGAATTGGATTGGCAATCAGCGCGCGCCGGCCTGGTGTATCGCGTGCACCGGGGACGCGCACCACCGATCCGGAACCCGACCATCCCTCCCAGAACATTCGATCCTTCGGACAAAAGAATCCTTCGAGAGATGTGAAATTTCGTCGGGCTTCGAACTGTACACGGCTGCGAAATGAGCGTAAATAGACGTGTAAATAGAAGACCCCAGATTCTTTCCTTTTTCTTTTCTGTTTTTCTTTCGCGGAGGGGTAGTTCTCCGAAACCTGGAGTTGAATTATTTCGACGTGCTCGGCGATTATCGTTCCCGGCATTCCTGGAAATCATGTTTCACGCGGGGATTACAGAGAAAGAACAAAGGTGGAGGAGAAAGAGATGGGGAGGGAGGTGGCAAAGGGAAAGAGGCAGGAGAGAAAGAGGAACAAAGCGGCCGATTGTGCGGTCGGTGCAACGCGTCGCTTATGACCGTTCGTAAATTTCAGAGGGAATGAATCATTCACCGCGGCAAACAGAAGGGGGTTGAAGTTGTTACAGCGATAGAGCTGTGCGCCACGTTGAATCGCTAACGCGAATTTCACGTACGTATGTACGAACGTATGCATATACGTCGGCGGGTGTAATTATATTCTTAGCTTTGTTACAATTACGCGAGCGCGTAACTACCGGCGTAGTACTGCGCGTAGTCATTTCTTTGAAACAGCGCCACAATTACGAGAGAGAGAGAGAGAGAGAGATTTTTGGACTGAATATTCTGAAAGGAGTTTGATAACTAGTTGTTTTCGCAAAATTAACAAAATAACATAATATTATATTCTTATCTGGTATAGACAGGAACGAAAAGAAGGAAGGTAGAAATGTAGGAAGAAAAAAACTTTAGTGTAGTCACAAAAGAGACTTTTGAACTGAGCATTCGTCAAATAGAGATTAACAGCCGTTGATTTCAAGACAAAATAAATGCAGCCGCGAGACAGCGACACGAGGGGAAACGATTAATAATAATAATATTTGCGGTAGTACGCTATCATCCGATCGTTTTGTTGGAGATTCTTGATACTTGAGAGCGGAGATTAACAGTACATACGTGTGTTTTAATCCACAGTCGAAACTATTAAGCGTTTTGAATCCATAAATTATGCTGTTTCAGAAAATAAATGGTCGCAACGATATCGCAGCGGGGTTTTCGAATAAACCCGCGAGATTCTGAAAATTCATCGGCACTATGTCAACATAGAGAGGTCCGCATATCCCATAAATTTCCTTGAGTAATGTCAAATCTAGATTGCCCCGACGTGAACGATGGTTATCCGTTGCGAAAATTTAAACCCGTGGCGTTTCGAAACTCTCTCTCTCTCTCTCTCTCTCTCTCTCTCTCTCTCTCGCGAGCGCGGCGAAATTACACGCGCATATTATGTTGTCTCGCCGTAATTACAATCGAATGAAATTACGATTAAAACCGATGTGTAATTAAAACGTGTTCATGGTTGCCCCGCGTGTCAGTTTCGCTGATTAATGTTAACGCGCTTATCGTGCGTTTGAACGCAAAGAGAATGATGCATCGATAGATTATTAACTCACGGCAATTATCTATCAATACTAAACAGGTTCTGGTAGCACGTTGCACGAATCGAGCGTAATCGTCCGTGAAGGTAAACGCAAAAAGCTGAAAAAGTAAAGAGAAAGGGCGAGGCAAGAGGCGGATCTGTAGCGAAGCGATGGGTGAAAGTGGTGATAAATTTCTTGGAAACAGAAATACATTCTGCGATAGATACATATTTCCCAGGAGACGGTGGAGCACGGTCGATGCGGGAAATCAAGCATCGACGGACAGGGACGCGTTCTCTTCTCTCTGCTCGGTTTATTAGAGCTACAAGTAGCTCGGTGTAATTTTACGACGTCATCGGACGCTAAACTCAGACATAAATCTGGATTCTCGGCTCGCCCCCGAAGATCGTTCGTCCCTACCCCTGGCCAACGCGGCTAACTCGATTTTCTGTCTTACTAGTTCATCAAACATTTACGTTCGACTACTTCCATCGCGCATTTTCCATCGCCGCACCACCAGTGCGGTGATTATCGTTCGATTGTCGCTTAATCCGTGGATACTAAGCGAGTAATCATTTATGTTGCCAGCCACGACGGTGTTTGGTTTCGTTTCATTTAATCGACGACCGTCAGCCTTCGTGGAAATTTTAGAGAAAAATTCGCAAAGTTTAACACTTTCCTGGTTGTGTGTAAGAAATGTTACGTAGATAATTGTACAATTATCGTATATACTAATTGAACTATTGTAATTTTATTAACGCACTATAACTATATAATCGAACAATTGATCGGTACAATTGATATCAGATTTTCGTTCGAACTACTTAAAAGATACGTTCTTGTCAAAATTGATATTAATTTTTTGTTTGAGCAGAAACACGAATGTTCACGAATGTATGTAAATCTGATGTAAATCTACTTTATTTTAATCGTCATTTAAATCATGAATAGTGATATATACGTAGAACAGTTTGATACAGTTGTTGCTAGTGTCGACAAATATTTTCATTTGTTTATTTATATTTATTTATATTTTAGATATTTTCGAACAACCAACGTTAGTACGTACGCGCACATATGCCCGCCGTGAATGTGCTGAAATTGAGTTGCGAGTCTCTGCTCAGAGAACAATAGAAACGATAACGAATATTCTTTTCGTGGATGGTTCTCTCGCCAGTGATCAATCACCGGTACAGAGTACGAAGCGCGTTAATTCATAAACCCCGGTTAGTTGCGTGTCGTTTGATAAAAATCCGTTTGAACAGGTCCCGTGTAACGTATTAACGGAACACAGCGGGTTCATGAATAATGGAACCGAGACATCGTGTAAGATCCTAACCCCGATACAGGTTAGACGAGCAGACACATCCGAGAATGCGATTTCCTGCGAGCGTCGGCGGTTGAAACAGCGAAATCCAACGTTTCGGGCGTAGCTAACGTCGGGTTGGTTAATCATCGCGGGGTGTAATCAGCGGCTGTGTGCCGCGATTATGTCACGGATGGAAAGTGCACAATGCATTCTGCCGAACGTAGAAATTGTTTTCGTGTTGCGGATTCGGAATACGGCCGGGCGCGTTGTTGCTGTTGAAACCAATTAAGAGTGTGTTCTACCGGATAGAAAGCGACGCTGCCGGCCAGAATACGGTAAATTGTTTAACAAAATTACCGTCTGCACGTTAGTTGCGTTAATGGCATCGATTTGTGCCCCGTTCGGAAGTTCTACGAGTGTCGTTTAGTTCGCGGTTTGGCAGCCTTTCGCGTGTATTTCAAGCGGAGGCCCTCTCTCTCTCTCTCTCTCTCTCTCTCTCTCTCTTATACCGCCAGGGTTCGTTCGATAACAGCCGCGTCGAAAGCGACGAATGGAACGTATTTATAAAGCGGCCGACACGGATAATGAACGACCTGATCGACAACAACTTGATGCCCACTTTGCATACTGAAATGTTTCCTCGCTACTTGCATCGTCGATCGATGATAAGAAGGAAAAAAAAAAACCGCCGTCGGATACAGGCGTGCTCGATAAATCCTTTCTATCGAGTTACTTCCTCTTCTTCCTTCCTCTCTCTTTCTTTTTTTCTCCACCGCGAGACACGCGAGTCCCGAAAAAAGTCCTCCAACGTAAAGGGAAAATTATTCGTCGAACAAAGACGAGGGTGCTGCTGTCAGTTTCTCCCTTGTCATCAGGGGGGATAAACGAAAGTTGGATCTTGGAAGATCATTAAGATAAAACATGCCGAGGGTAGCAGCGATCCGCGAGTTAATGGATTATCCATCGAATCAGCGACAAAAAAAAAAAAAAAAAAAAAAAAAANGCGACAAAAAAAAAAAAAAAAAAAAAAGAAAAAAAAGAACAAACCAACGCACGAAGGGATGAAATAATTAACGCGGTTATGACGCAGCTAACAAGGATTTTCACAAGGGTTACATAAGCCTCGAGATCGACGCTTCGCTGCTGCGAAGATGCGGGTAATTGCACAGATATCGCGGCGTGACCTGTTTAACAGACGAAGCATCGGCTATATTCTTCTTTCGATACCGGTGTTGCACGATAAACGGGGCGCAGTAAACTCGAATGGCGTTTAAGCCGATATAATTAAGTTTTAAGACATCGCTCTCCGTCGTCAAGAAGGCTATCAAGCGGAAACTGAGAAACACAGATGTCTACGGAAACACGCGATCGACTACCGACGATCATTGGTTGTCTACGCGTTGCATGTACTTTGATTCGACAGACGAGTGTCGTCGGATGTCTTCTCGGTGGTGGAAAGAATACATGGGGGGGAAAAAAAAGAGCCAACGCGGTATCGTCGCAATGCAACCGCGCGAGAGATGAAATCGATAGACACGTCCCTGAACGACGTCAGTGCGAAGACGAGGGAACACGCTACCCTTCTGCCTTTACCTCGTCCCCTACTCCCCGATGACGGAATCATCGAGACACGACACGGTGACCCGACAAGGATGGCGAAAAAGAGAGGAAAAAACCGGAGCGATCCGAGGGACAAAGAGAAGAATAGGGAAAATACAATGCTATCGCTAGCGACAAACAAGGGTGGCGCTAGATACAGCCCTGGACCGGGTCCGGAAGCAGCCCCCTCCCTCCTCCTGCCTACGAGAGTCCTCCTTTTTCCCTCCGCTCTCGCGTTCTCTCGATCCTCGTTCGCGTTCATCGATCGCGAATACACACGATCAGCTGCCGAATTCTTTCGCGTCGGAGCCGCGGCTTCGCCGCTGGGATTTGTCGTGCACGCGTGCTAATTCACGTACGCACAGTTACACCTCAAAATCTGATCGATCCATCCGCAGTATAAGTCTCCGGTACAGCCCCGCCTGCCCCCTTTCCACCCTTTACGCCATGCGACCCCCTGTATCATCTTGGAAAGACGTGTGTGTCCAGTGAGTTAAGCGCGACTTGACGCAACCCACTGTACGCGAGTTTCGCGACTACCAAAAACCTTGCTGGCCCTTGCCAATCACCTTCTCGCGATTAACCAGATGTCGACGCGTGTACACACACTTTCCCGCGGGAATCTTGAAAGATCGATGCACGATCCGCGAGAGGTTGAATCCTCTCTTGACAGGATTGGGAGACAGACAGAAAGAGAGAGAGAGAGAGAAAGAGAGAGAGAGAACCGACGAACATATGTCACGCGGGTGAAACTGATCTTACCGGTAATGCCTAGGAGAATCCAGCACACGAGGCACAGGACGTAGTAGTTCACGTAAGAGGATCTCCTCATGATGACGAAGACAGTGACGACGACGACGACGACGACGACGACGACGACGAGAACGACGACGCAGTTGCCTTCGACGGGTCCACTGACATCTCAAAACAACCAGCACACCAAAAGCCAGAGGTGCACCCTCTCACACCTAACCCTCCGTCATCACTCTGTTCATCCTCCTTGACTCGATGCTACCAGACCTCGTGCATAGTATACCTTTACCACCCTCGGTTTCTTTTTCTTTCGTTTTCCTTTTGCTCGTCGCGCACAATGATCCTCGTACCGATACACAACCGTGGTATCGGTGTCGCACTGATCACATATTATCTTCGAATTAGTCGTCGATTAGGCACGCCGATCCTCGTACGATCCTGTACCTCTCTCTCATACACCGTTTTGTAGTGTTTGCCCGAGACGTCGTTTACGTTTTGGCAAACGCGCGCGCGTGTATACGTGTGTGTGCGTGTGTGTGTATGTGTGTGTGTGTGTGTGTGTGCTTGCGTACGTGCGTGCGTGCGTGCGTGTGTGTGTGTGTATGTACGTGTGTGTGTGTGTATGTGTTCCACAAAGGGTGCAGCAGCACACGTTTTCTCTCGACAGCGGACAATCGAAACGCGACGTGGTATACGCGAGACGGTCCACCACTGGGGCTTATACGTGGTCGCGTGATATGGCCCCTTTTCCGACCGATCCTTCAAACACGACCGAGTTTTGCGTACGGGTCGTCTGCGGTTCGTCGTCCCGGGCGAAGCTCTGAAACCGCCGGGCCTCCAGTGGCACTGCCCGCGCCCGCCCGGGGATTCCGCGCAGGCGTGCTCTTTCTCCTCTACTCTGCCGATCAGTCAGCCTCCTCCTTCCTCCAGGCCTCCTACTCTCGTCCCATCCTCCTTCCTTCTTACTCCTTTCTCCTTCTCGGTCTTCTTCTTCTCTGATTACTACTACCACCGTTACTACCACCACCAACGTCGTCGACGACCGTCGTCCTCCTCCTCGTCGTTCTCGTGTCGTCGTCACCACTGCCACCGACACTGCTACTGCTGCTGCTGCCGCTGCTCACGGTATTACCACTACCGACTAACGCGGCTACTGCTACTGCTACTGCTACTGCTACTACTGCTGCTGCTGCTGCTTCTGCTTCTGCTTCTGCTTCTGCTGCTGTTACTGCTACTGCCGTAGTCTCGGTCGTCTTTCACGCTTCTTCCTCTTTCCAACCACCACGACCGTCTTTCGTCCATCCTCTGAACAAATTTTACGCTTCTCACACTATGTTAACCCCCCGTATTCCCCCTCGTCTCGGCCCGGCCGATCGGGGGATACCCGACTTGAAAATAGCAGGCTCCCAAGAAGTTTTTGTTGGTTTTCTTCCTCGCAGAGGCTCGGAGAGGATTTGTAAATTTGCGGTTCGTCGATTGACCAGCCAGCGGTTGGTTTCGTTAACCGGCCCGACTTCGAGCTTTAAACGAATTCTGGCCGATTGGAAGCGACGCGGCAACCTTCTCTCTCTCTCTTTTTCTCTCTCTCTCTCTGCTGTCAGAGTCTTTTTAATCAACTTTCGCTTTGGCCCGGCCGGTCTCCTCTTCGGTGTGTTTACGAATCTTAATTTAGCCGGCTGATTACTGTTCCTCGTCGCTTTTAATACCGCCGCTGTTTCCACGTTGCCTCCTCCGTCCGTTCCTTTCTAACGCGGCTTCAGTCTGCCGCGGAAAAAGTTCCTCTTCCGCTTCTTTCGCGTCGTTTTATTCTCCCGCCGAGTTCTCGTCTCCGCTCCGTGTCGTCTTTAGCAGACGGAGAGAGCTAGGACCGGAGAGAGAGAGAGAGAGAGAGAGAGAGAGAGAGAGAGAACGGGATTCGGTCGGGATTCTCTCGGCAGCCTGTTCCCGTTGGAATTTCCCTCCATTCGTTGGAATTTTATTTCGTCGAAAATATCGCCCGGCCCGCCGCGTTTGTTTCGTTTTTTGTCGCCGCTGAGGATTATCTGGTAGACGGCCTCCATGGAAAGCGTAATGAATCCTCCTTAGGACTCTTTCGACCTATTTTTCCTCCCCCGCAGTCGTGACTGTCGCGCTTCTCCTTTTCCTCTCCACCGTTCCTCTTTTTCCTCGCCGTCTCTCACCATCCGTGATTACCATTAGTTTCGCCGCTGTTATCTCTGCCTGTCGTTTTCGGGTCGCTTACGATTATTGCATTTTTCTCTCTCCGGCCAGCCGGCCTCTCGTTCCGCGTTCTCGCTTCTCCGACTAGTTCTCGCGGCCTATCTCCGACAGCTTCTTGTCCGCGTTAATCTCATTCAGTCGGGGTGAAACCAGATCGGTCCACAATATTAGATACCTCGCCGACGAAATTAATTGATCTTCTGATCGGCTGGAATTCCAGGGTACACACGTTTAAGATCGAGCCGTGATTAATGATCCTGATGGTCTTTCGACCCCGGTCAGAGGATTTCGAATTAATTTCGTTCTAATAAAACGTTCGACTCTGTTTTCCCCGTTTTTTCTTTTCTTCTTCTTTTTTTCTTTTATCTCCAATTACGCGCTGCCTTCTACCTTCTATCTTTCGCTGCTCGTCCCCCCGATGTTTCCACCTTTTTCTTTTCTTCTTTTTTCTTTCCACTCTCTCTCACGTCGACTCTCTTCATTGTGCATTATCTGTGCAAGTTGGATTGCACCGGGCGCTTTTTCTCAAAAACAAACGTCAACCCGCCGCGCGGGCTGATCACTCCGCCGCTCTCGCTCGGTCGGCTGGTTTATTTAGTCCCCGGCTTAATTATGACAAACATTACTTCGAGTTCAGCATTTCGAGCGTGCCTCCGTTGTCGACTCTCTCTCTCTCTCTCTCTCTCTCTCTCTCTCTCTCTCTCTCTCTCTCTCTCTCTGCCCCCCTAAGCCCGGCGATTTTCTTTTTTGTCGCGGACAAATTGCGTGTTCTTCTTTGCGACGTTAACCTTATTCCGTGCAGACCGAAATGCTCTCTCTATATATATATTTCCTAGTAAAAGAAGTACTTTCGTTTCTCCTTTCTCTTTCTTTCCTTCTTTCTTTCTTCTCTTCTCTGCCCATTCTGCCCTTTGCTCGACGAAACATATATTTTATATCATATATATGAGATATGCAACGGTGTATGACATCGCGAAACGCCAAAGCGCGTTTCATTGTTTGTCGTCAACTTCGTTTCGTCAAGAGAATTTAAGCGCTTTTAACTTTTACTTTCTCGGGGCCTCTTGCCCCGGAAATTCGCTCCGCTCGGCGCCCCTTGGCAAATTATTCTTTTACCGTGCCCCTCCTCCTTGCCCGAGTTAATTCTATATACCCAGGGCTTGTTTAACTCGGTCGAATCTCCGGGCCCTTCGGAGAAGGACTTCGTTTACTCGCGCGACAAACTCGTCTCTCCGCGGCGAGGCAAACGTTACAGGTGCCAGTGGTCGGTGTTAATCCGGCCGACAAGAACCGTGGGTGCCCCATCAGGGCCCGGACGACCGCGAGAAAAGAGCCGGGCAACCCCGTTCCTTCAAACTTTCTTCCTCCCTTTCATTGTCGTCGCCCCGGACACCTCTTCGTTCTTTTATCTTCTTCACACGGTTCTTTCCTCTTCTCTTTCTTTTTTTATTCTTCTTTTTCCATGTCTCCCGCTCTCCAGTCCTCTGCGCTCGCTATGCCCTTCTCCGCGATCTTTTGTAGCACGGTGGGAATTTTTACGCCTCTTTCATCCATCACCACGAGACCGCGTGCCGTAATTACTCGCCGAGAAAAGACACCCGCGCGTTCCTTCTCTACTGAGTTTATTCTTATCGTCCGGCATAGTTGATTAACTCCAGGTTTTTCTTTGTAACCGCGCGCGCGCGCGCGGCGATTCATCTACAAACGAGCACGAGGTCCTCGTTTAATATTTCGTGCGGCGTACGCCAACTTCCATGGATGAGCTGACGTTGTCGTCAACCGCGACCCGGCGCGAAAAGAAAAATCACGCGCGAACAGCACGATCGTTCGCTGCAGGAATTGTCGGTTATTCTTTTCAGGGGAGACGTCTAACTCTTCACCACGGTCGGAGACGATCATCAGCGATAACGTATTCGTTTGGTTCATCGGGCGAATCGAACGTAAGGATTCGAGACTACTGGATCGTTCTCGACTCTCTCGATGTCGTTTGTCGTTTGCTAGCGGACGAACGTGTCTTCTTTCTTCGGGGTCGCCTCAACGCGACAAAACGCGGCGGTGGCGCGACATTAACTTTCCGGATACGGCGCGGAGAACCGTCGTTCGATCAGAATTTGTAATTTCGAATAATCGACGACAGAATGGCAGACGGGAGGGTGGAGACGGCACGGCCGCCTCAGTTCGCCTACGAAATTTAGAGCGAGTGTCCCGAATATGTAAGCTCTTTCGCCCCGTTTCCTCCGACGCGCTCGCCACCCTCCTCCCTCCTCCCCCGCAGCCGAGATTAACCTTCATCGTCGGAAGTAAGTTTTCGAATCTCGGTTAAGTTTCCGACGTCGAGGAATTTGCATGGTGCGGTAGACTGGCATTTGGTAAATTACGGAACTTTTCTTCCGTGGACGATCTGGCCGTTATCTTCGTCCGGCCAGCGGCTCTTCCCTTGTTCCCTTCTCTTTATCGATCTTTTCCCTTTCTGTCCTTCCATCCCTCTGCGACCGTCCTCTCTCACCTCAACGACGACGACGGTCGAGACTTATCCGACGTCGTTCTTTTAATTTTCCAGCCGTTTCTTTCACTTTCTTCTCCAGCGGCCCCCTCCTCTTCACTCCATATCGTCGGTTCTCGCCAGTTCGGCTGGCAAGTACGTCCATACATTAGGAACGAAAGGTCGAGACGCTCGAAGGGTGGAATCCGTAATACTAGCTAAAGAGGAGGAGAGAAATATTTGATCAACGCGTGTTTGAAACGATGTTCAACGCTATGTCGCGGTAGAGCCCGTTTCTTTTCTCTCTCATTTGTCGTGCGAGCTCGAGTACGTACGTGTACTCACGTCGTACGAAAAAAACTCGACCGACACTCCCTCGGTCACGGTGTAACCTTTTTACAGCTAGGCTTCCTTCGTTTCGCGTGTCTTCCTCGTTCGCGCGCCGTCTTCTTTTATAAATTCATTCGACGTACCGTGTAGTACAAGTACATCCAACGGAATCGTAGAGCGCCACGGAGGTGAAACTGCGGCACACAGCAACCGCATGTAACAGCCTGCCTGCTGAATGAGTTTCAATCCAATTTTCAAACTCGCGGAGCGCCGCGCGTATCACCGAAGTTAGACCTCTCAACCTTCTTTCTTCTTCCTTGTTTCTCTCTTTGTCGGCGTGTCTTTTCATCATCCCCCTGTCAGCTCTATCAATCGGCCACTTTCGTTTCTCGCTTCTTCGCTTTGCCCGCTTACGTCCTGCCAATCTTCGCGGTTTGAACAATCTACCTCGCTCTCGGCCCGGCGGATTTTTGCTCGAGGGAGCGCGACATCTTTATGGAAAGATATCTCTTCTCCTTTCCAAGACGACAGTCGCGTAGGAAAAAGAGTCTTCACCTCCAGACGTCCTACGCGGACGCGTCGCCAGAAAGCTCCCTGGAAAATCCGTCGTTTTTTCAGACAACGACTCTCTGGACGAGGGAACACGACTTGGTGGAGAATCACGAAGAGAACGTGGCGTGATTCGTGGGACGCATCGATAAAGATAAAGTTTGCCAGACGATAAAGTTCCGTCCGCGGCAAAAAAAAAAAAAAAAAAAAAAACAGCCCTGTCGCCCCCTGGCTGGCTATTCATTTTCCCAGAGGGTTGCCGCGCGCTTTTTAACACGTTGGGGCTGTGACTGCTGCTGGTGCTGCTACGCTCGCCCCCGGTGCGTCGTTGAAAAATATTAATATCGTCGCACTCCGCGCGCCATGGAATACACCGGGGTTATCGACGCGGTTGATTCTTCTGTTCTCTGGCGTTTGAATGAGAAAAGGGATTGGTGGCTCGTCGTGGAAATTAGTGGAGTGTCTGTCGAGTATATTCCGACGTGGATGGTTCGTGGAAGTATATTGCTTCGGTTAATATCGGCGCTGCGAATA